CAAATCCCATGTTCCCTGTACCCCCCCCCCCCCCCCGGGGCCCGGACTCTATTTTCTTCAAGAATTTAATTATTTTTTTTAAAATTCACCCAAAACCCAAAGGAACTAATGTGCTACTTTACTTTTTCACACAAGAACAATGTTAAAATTTGAGCTTGATAACTAAGAATATACTTTATTCTGTTGAAAAAGAAAGTATCTTTTCTACAACATGAAAGGAAATTACTCATTTTATTGAAAGAACGAAAATATTTTTTCTACATCATGAAAAGAAATATACTCGGTTTGTTGAAATGAGAAAACATTTTTTCGTACTCGTTTTGTTAAAATGAAAGAAAATATTTTTCTACATCAAGAAGAAAATATTAGTTTGTTGAACTGAAAGAAAATACTTTTTCTACTGCATGAAAAGGAAGTACTCTTTTTGTTGAAATAAAAGAAAATACCTTTTTTACTATCATGAAAAGAAAGTACTCGCTTTGTTGGAAAAAAAAAATACTTTTTCTATTTCAGAAAAAGAAAATACTTAGTTTGTTGAAATGAAAGAAACTACTTTTTCTACATCATAAAAAGAAAGTAAAGTACTGGTTTTGTTGAAAAGAAAGAAACTACTTTTTCTACATCATAAAAAGAAAGTACTGGTTTTGTTGAAATGGAAGAAAATATTTTTTCTACATCATGAAAAGAAAGTACTCATTTTTAAAAAAAATTACTTTTTCTATTTCAAGAAAAGAAAGTACTTAGTTTGTTAAAATTGAAAAAAAAAAACTTTTTCTACATCATGCAAAGAAAGTACTTATTTTGTTGAAATGAAAGAAAATACTTTTACTACATCATGAAAAGAATATACTCGTTTTGTTGAAATAAAAAAAAGTACTCTATCTATAACATGAAAAGAAAGTACTATTAATAATAGTTCTATTTAGGGTGGGTGGTGAGCGAGGTTGGGGTGGGTGGGGTGTGGTCGGGGGGAGGGGGTTGGGGTGGTTTGGGGGTGGGGTAGGTGAGGGTTGGTTGGTGGGCATGCGGAATAAGGCGGTGAAGGTTGAAAAAGAGTTTTGGAAAATGTTTTCCCTCCTTTTGATAGGGAAAACATTTTACTCCAATTGGAGGAAAATGAGTTGACGAGGAAAATCTTTCCAAAACATTTAAGCCAACCAAACATGGGAAAATTGGAAAACATTTTTTCCTTCCTACGAAACACACCCTTAATGTTTTGATATCCCAGAATCCAAGCTTTATATTTCTTTAGTATCCATCTCCAACTTTAACTTATTTGTACAATCTCAGCCTGTTCAAGGGCCAGAGAAAATGACCCAAGTAATTGTTGAAGCATTAGAACTCACTGGACAAAGGGGAATCATCAACAAAGGCTGGGGTGGCCTTGGCAATCGTAAGTTCTCTTTTCTGGAGTTGGGAATTCTGCTTATTATTCTAGTGTAAGAATAGGCAGTTTATTTATTTATCTTTTTATTTATTTTTGTGTATGTAACTTATGTAATTTTGTGGGTGGAACTCAGCTAATACTTTTTTTTTGTTCTGTAACCAGTGGCTGAACCAAAGGATTCTGTGTACTTGCTCGATAATTGTCCCCATGATTGGCTTTTCTTACAATGTTCTGCAGTGGTGAGCCTTTTGCTACATTTACATCTTTCCTGTTACTTTTAGCTTTGCAGCAATAAGGATACGAAGCTCAAGGAATATAGAATAAGGCCAAAGGACAAAACTTGGGGCAGAGGGTGAGGGTTGAGGTGGACTGCAAAACGGAGGACTGACTAGTGATTTTCAATATTGACTTAGTTTTATTGATTGGTTATCCATAGTTTTTATGTGGGATTATCAATATGGACCTTCGTTTTATTCATCGATTACCCATGGTATCATGTTATTAATTAGTCAATTCTGTATGGGTCATGAATTCTTGACTACTAGAGTGGCATGGCCTGGGCTTGAGACGTAAGATGCTGTGACATGACTTTGGGCTTGTGTGCATGTCCTTGGCCACTTTTTCATAGTGTCTAGAGATTTTGACCACGTGTAGTTCTCTGATTATGTTTCATATGTTTTACTCTTGCCCTCACTTTTTGTATACTTATAGATGTGTGAATATGTGTCGGTTTCGTGGGTTTATTGACCTAACATAATCCCACACTGGGTTGTTCCAGCCATCAGCTGGAAAATATTGGTTAGATCCAGGACCAAGTGGTGCCAACATGCAACGTTAATGTAACAACAATTGTTTGGATTAGAATGTTTAGTAAGCCTAGTGGCTGCATTAGACTAAGTAATTTTGTTTATGATGTTTGTGCTAAAAAGAGCTATTTGATTAACTGTTTCTCTCATAACAACTATTTTACTCTTGTCAAGATCCGTGATTGAAGTGCTGCCTCTTTTCCAGTGTCCTGTCTATTATATAAAGATGGGTTACTTCTATGTAAGGTCAGGTCAAGTGACGATTTTATGCTGCTTGGAGTTGCAGTTGGGTGGGGAAATTGGTGGCTTGGTACTTTTTTGCCACTGCCAAATACACTCTATTGCTTCATAAGGGCCACTCTCACTAGTCCTCACTCAATTGAAAGCTTTAACAGACTTCCTTTTATGTGCTTTGTATTCGAATTATCCAAGCTTAGCATGCGTATGATAAACGACATGGCCGGTTTTCTCTTTCTTTCCAGGTGCACCATGGGGGTGCTGGAACAACGGCTGCTGGTCTTAAAGCTGCGGTGATGTTTCCTGCTACTTCTGTTTACTCTCGTTTCCTTGTGCTTATCTGGCTAACCGTATCTTAGCATTATTTTTGGATTACAGTGTCCAACAACTGTTGTCCCCTTCTTTGGTGACCAGCCATTTTGGGGGGAAAGGGTGCATGCTAGAGGTGTAGGCCCTCCACCTATACCTATTGATGAATTTTCACTTCCTAAGCTGGTTGATGCAATTAATTTCATGCTTGATCCTAAGGTACTTTGCTATTTATTTTTATCCCATGTACTGAATTGCTTGCTGAAGTTATTGAAGAGCAAAAGTATTTTACTATGAAGTTAGTCCATATCCCGGAGTTTAATTTGCCAAAGTTATGTTCAGAGGGCCTTTTGGGTCTTAGTTTCTTACTGCATCATCCTCTTGATAACTAGAAACTTGAGAGTAATGTTGAGGTTATCAATTCAAATGGATATTCCTTGTTGTTTACCAAATTGAAAATTTGTTCCTTTCTTTTATTTTTTAATTTTGAAGAATTTTGGATGTTTTGAAAACTTGAGAAGGTGGAATTGTCTCTCGAAATGAACAAGTGAGATAACACACAGGTAAAGGAGCGTGCAGTTGAGCTGGCTAAGGCGATGGAGAATGAAGATGGGGTCACTGGAGCAGTAAAAGCCTTCTTTAAGCATCTTCCACGCAAAAAGTCTGAGCCTGATCAAATACCTGCAGCACCAAGTTTGTTTTCTATTGGAAGATGCTTCGGTTGTTCCTAGATTTCAAAATGGATAAAGATATGAAATCTCTGTCACTATTTACTATACCTTGTTCCTGTAATTATAGAACATATTTATATACACCCAATTGGTCTCTCCCAGCCAGAACCTGTAGCCTTGATTATTACATTGTTCCATATATAGTTGGATACCGCTGAAAAATAACAAGCCGATTTCATATTCATCATAAGATTAATCAATGTTGTAAATGACAGTTTTAAATCGTCCTAGTTATGTTTTAAGACTTCTTATCTCCTTGCATTTAAAAAGAATGTTTTTACCACAATTAGAGTATGTTTATGTTTTTTTCCCTCCTGATCTGAATCTGGAAAACAGTGGTGGGTTCGTTAATTTTCTGAATTTGCTCAGGTGGTCATAGTTTGTTGTAAAGTTATTTTAGCAGCATGCCATTCGAGAAAGTACAATTTCCAGAAAAGTAACGATGAGAACAAGGAGGGGTTCCGTAACTATCCTGTATTTGTTATTCCCAAAGCTCTGCGAAATAGCTTTCAGTTGTTGGCTTGTTGCAGCATTTAATGGAGAGTTGCACTTGTTCATTGGCTTTCTACAACTTGACCTTCACTGGTGGACTGTTTTGATGCTTAAAGAAAGGAAACACTGCTAGTAATACATGCAGGAGTAGATAGATAAATTCAAGGGGCAGTATTCGGATTGCGTGTTATAAAATCAGAAATTCTAACAGAAGGATTTTAAAAAGATGCATGAATGACATATACTGGAATAATTTCAATAATTTTTAAAGGCATCTTTGCAATTTTTGTCCATAATTTTATCATTTCGGCACCGGTGCGAAGGTGGAGAACTGTCAACGCACTTGCAATAACTATATGACTTTAATTTGTTGGCCGAAAAAACCTTTGAGAGTCGCCACGTCCGTGAGAACACATGGACCACTGTTGTTATTGTTTGTGTGTGGGTATGACATATACGTGAAATCCCAAGACATGCAGCCAATGGGACAAGTTGCATATATAGCCATTGGCGGTGGATGTCAGAGAGTGATGCAGGGAAGGAAAAGGGGAGGGGAGAAGAACTAGTTGCTCTTTTTCCCCCATAACTATTTATTGAAAAAAGCAGTTATAGAGCAGTGTAGGCCATTTGTAAAAACAAGAGAGGTGATAAATCAAAAATAAGGCAACTAGAATTCTGACCCAATCCTCTAATGTGTTTAGCCTTTTGTCAGCTGGGAAACCATTGGAGAGAACTAGCAGCACTAGCTTTTGGGCGCAATAGTAGATTTTAATTACTCTCGGACCGAAGTGGATCTATGCTAAACACAATAGATTCGACTGAACTCATAGCGTCTAATTAATTCAAACTTTGTAATTTTGTATATACATGTACAAAATTAGCACATATATAAAGAGCAGAACTCACAGACTATAATTCTTAGATTTGCCAGTGCTTTTGAATACGAAAAGAATCTGTAATGTACCATGCTAACGCAAGTTGTACTTGCAACCAAAAAAGTCAATTCTTTATCAAGAAACTACTTTATACAAGCAAGCTTTATGCGCTTATTTTGCCATATTGAGCATCACTTGAGCAATTCTATGACATAATATTGGTTTTTCTTTAAAACTAAGCTTTGTACTAATTTCATTGAATAGAAAAGCATTGATACTTGCAAAATTTAAGATACTTTTTTAAGAGAGTTTCCTCTTCTTTCTTTTTTTTTTTTTTTTTTGGTTGAGAAAAAAAAGACAAAGAAGTGAAGCTAATAGCTGCAGTAGGAAAGAGCAAGTGCTTAAGAAGTTGTCAGAAGGGGTGGTAGGCAAGATTCAATTACCCAATCCATACAACATAAGTCTGCTGAGTTCTGATCTAACCAATCTCTTCCATTGCCTCAGCATGCAGAATCATCATATTGGAGGACACTTAGCTTTCTCCCCACTTATCCTCTTCTTTTACTACTCAAATTCTCTCTCTTATATCTCTTCTCAGTATTCAGTTCCCCAAGCCCATACACCCCTCTTGTGCCTGTCCATTTGCACACTTTTTAATACTCCGATCCACTTCATTATTTCTGTCTTCACATTTCCCAACCTCAGTTTCTGAACTTAAACTGTTTCTCTTCTCACCTCTTTCTTTTATCATTTCATAAGTAGTCATAACTCACCAACTTCAAAAGTCTCTATTCTTGTTTCTTTCTGTTCCCCCTTAACTTGTTCTTCTCTGCTCTTCTCCTCCAACTCAAAGCAAGTCTTCTTCATTTTTCTCAAGGTTTGTATGTAGTTCACCATAACGTTATTTCACTATTCCAGTTTTATTTGGAAGTATAATTTTAGTCAAGCTAGTACGTTTACTTTAAATATCATATGCAAGGGCAAAGCTACCTGAAGTGAAAGAGTTTAATTAAATCCCCTTCATCGGAAAATTATATTGTCAATAGGATCAGATAAAACAACTTTTTTTGTGTATATATAAATTGTTGAATCTTCTTGACATAGATTCATATCTTAAATTTCTCCCTCGGAGATTACTGGTCCTATGTTTTGTAGGAACATTTTAGTCCTATCCAAGATTTATATCCCAGTTTGAAGATAACAAATAAAATTTCTACTAATTTTGTTTGTATTTTACATGTTGACTTCAACTCATGATTTGAGATGGTAGTAGTTGTTTCTTTTATTATTCCATAACCTAGTCATTCAAAGTTCTTCTTTTATATCCCTAACTAAGTTTACTGTTGTATTTACTTTACAGATATGGAGAGTGAGAAAGTAAGCAATGTCCAACCAAATAATTCAGAAGACAACACCACAAGGTCATTCCCATGTTTATATTGTTCAAGAAAGTTTCATAGTTCACAAGCTTTAGGAGGCCATCAAAATGCTCACAAAAAAGAAAGGACAGCAGCAAGAAAAAACAAGAGAATTATGTCATCTCATCATGATCATTATGCTGCTAACTTCTCTTCAGTACTTCCACAAGCACCTCTTGTTTTTGCACCTAACCATCCAATTGGCCTTATAAATCATCCTTCTCTTTACATAACTGCACATGCAGCCAACTTTTGTCAGTTTCCAGCTGGGCAGCAGCAGCAATTTTCTACTAGTAGATTTGGATCAAATGGTGCACCAAGATTTGAGAATAATGCAATGCTGTATCGAAATGGGAATTATTTGAGTAATAGTAATCCGTATGTGTATGAAGGGGATGAACAAGGTTTCCCAAAATGGCAAAAGAGTATAATTAGTCAAAGATGCAACAATAATGATTTCTTTCAAGAATGTGAAGATGATCTGAACGTACCAACTTTTGTTAAGGACCATGAAAGGGATACAGATCAGAAGCTTGATTTGTCACTCCATTTATAGTTTTCTTTCGCTTTTTTTAATTTTGGGATTTTTGGGTTTTTATTTAGAATGCCCATCACTTCTCTACTTTTTGTAGTCTTAATGATATCATAATGCATTCTGATGCCTAATCGAATTGATAGTACTTCTTCTAAAGCCACGGCATTGGTCTGCTCTCAACATTCTATCTTTTAAACCCAACGCATTTGATTTATTTAACGTAAAATAATTTCTACTTACGTCTATTGTGAATCTGCACTTTAAGAGCGATAAATCGATCTGTTAGATTTCTATAATAAATTTGGCTTTGCCAGGATTCCATGAGAAATTCCATATTTTTTTGTTATATCCTCAAATGGTAGATAACAATATTTTCAGAGCGAAGTCCAAAAAAGTACCGAAACGTACCTCTATATATATATATATATATATATATATATAATATTTTATATATTAAGTTTAAAAATAATAAAGCATTAATTTTTTCCCTAAGGCCTTGGATTATGAAAACGGCTACGAGATAATTTACATCCAAGTCCCAACTTCCAAATTTATTTTGCTATTCCTATTGGAATTAAATTAGTTATAGCATCTTGAGTAGCAAGTCACGAGGTATTCCAACGATGTTGAGTAGCAAGCAATAAGATACTGGATATTTTTCCTCTTGTATAATTTAAATTTATCTTGTTGGATAATTAATCTACGAAAAGACTCTATTCTTGAGTCCCCGCTTGATTAATATCTTTTCACTCTAGTGATTTATATCTCCTTGTCTTTGCTTAATCTATTTTACGCTACTATAGAATGGTGGAATAGATTTATATCCTGGCCATATTTCACGTTTTCTTGATTCATCATGTTTTAAATAATAAAAATACTTAAGAGAGTTCTGCAAAGTTCTATGCAAGTACGTGTAATGACCCGATGAGTCATTTTTGTATATTTGATCCACGTTCCCATATTTGATGCTTCTCATATGTTTGTTTGTTGTCCTGTAACTTTCGGGGATGTTTGGTTTAGTTTCGGGAAGGTTTGAGAGAGAATTGAGACACTTAGATCTCATTTTGGAAGCTTAAGTTGTAAGAGTTGACCAAGGTTTGATGATTTGAGGGTTACAATAGGCTCATGTGGTAATTTTGGACTTGCGCGTATGTTCGAATTTGGATTCGGAGGTCCCTAGGATGTTTTGACTCTATTTACCGAAGGTTGACAATTTGGAGATTTGGAGAGTTCCTAGTTTGACCAAGGGTTTACTTTGATGTTATCGAATTCAGATAGTTATTCCGGAAATTGGAATAGGTTCATTTTCTAATTTTAGATTTGTGTGCAAAGCTTGGATGAAATCCGGATTGGTTAGGTTTGAATCGGACGCGTGGTTGGAAATTTGGAATTTGACGAACTTAAGAGAAGCTTAACTTGAGTTTTGATCATTGATATTTTGATGTTGTTTACGGTGTTGTGAGCCTTTGGATAGGTTTGGAGAAAGTATTAGGACTTGTTGGTATGATTTGATGGGGTCCTGAGGGGTTCAGGTATATTTCAGATGGATTCTGGACCATTTTAGTATTGGTTTACATATCTGGTGCTGGTGCATCGCACCTGCGAAGATGGTGTGCATAGGTGCGAAATCACATATGTGAGAAGGGAGTTTGCAGATGCGAAGAGGAGGCTGGTTGGGCAGTGGCCGCTTTTGCAAAGCTGGGTCGCTTCTGCGAGGCATGCTTCTGTAAGGGAGGTCCGCAGATGGGGACACCGCATTTGCGAAGGGGTTCCATACCTATGAGGTTTATCCAATCGAGAATAGGTTGCAGATGTGTAGATTTGGACCGCACCTGCGAGCTTGCAGATGCGAGAATTTTATCCGCAAATGCAAAATCACTGGCAGACCTCCTATATTTCGAGGGTTTGGTATTTTTTTATTATTTTGAGTTTTGGAGCTCGACTATAGGAGATTTTGAGATGATTTTCATCACCACTTTGAGGGTAAGTATTTTCTACTTGTATTTGACTTAATATCTTAATTCTAGATGGGTTTCTACACCTAAAATATAGAGTTTTAAAGAAAAATTTGAAATTTTTATCTACAACTTAAGAGTGTGTATTTTGGAGATTTGAAGGTCGATTTGGACTCAGTTTTGGAGTCTAATCATATATATGACTCTTGGGGTTATGAGTAGTCGAGCTCTACCCCTTGACTCGAATTTTAACCGTGTGAGCCCGAATTGACGTTTATTGACTTTTGGGGATTTGATTAAAGATCGAAACTTTATTGTTTGGGGTTGTTTCTTATGGATTTATTTGATGTTATTAAGCTATTTTTTTGTTAGATTTGGGTAATTTGGAGTTGTATTTGGACAGCAATTGTTGCTTGATTTTAGCTTAAGGTAGAGGTAAGTATCTTGTCTATCCTTATAAGAGGGAATTCTCCCCATAGGCGATATATTTGCTACTTGATTCATGATTTATGAGCCATGTATATGCGAGGTGACGAGCGTATATGTGTAGCTAACTTTTGACCATATCCGGTATTTATTAAATTGAATTGTACTTTATTGGATTATGTGAAGTTGCTATTCATGTTCAATTTGATTCTATGACTATGTGATAATTTATATTCATGATTTAGGAGCATTGCTGACTTGTTATTTTGACATGAAGGGATATTGTGCCATGTCGAGCTTTATTATAAATTCATATTCATATACTTGCTCTATTTGCTCCTGTGAGTACCTAATTTTTGACCATTCTTTAGATTTTTATCACCTTTTAGTGCTTAAATATATGTTAAGTTTAATCTTGATATTTTAGCCTTTATTTCACTTTTTAGTAGGTTTATGTGATAAAATTAAAAATCAGACAAAAGAATCTCATTTTAGATAATAGCTGTGTTTATTTGCAAAAGAAAAGAAATTCACAAAAAAATATGTTTTTTCTTCTAATTTTGGTAAGACAGCAATTTTATAACTTTTTCCTTAATAATTACTTATATTTTTCTAATTTTAATATTAGTGTAGTATTTTTTATTTTAGGTTATTTTTAAAAAAAAAAGAAAAAAAAGAGAGCCAATGAAGAATTGCCAAATATCAAAAGATTCTATTTTATCTTTAGTAACTAACTCCCACTTACTCACTTTCTAGGCAATTTACACTACACACCACATGTACCATATGGTTATTCTTTGAAATTGGCATCTAAGGTAGATACACTCAAAAAGACACATGGCAAAACAAAAGGGGGAAGGGAAATAAAAGGACTGATAAAAAAAAGAGCAAAAAGAGGGGGGAAGGGATCTGGACAAAAAGAGAAAGAGGGGAAACGAGAGAAAAATGGAAGGGAGGAAAAGGTTAGAGTGACGAAAAACAGAGCATTAGCTCTGAAAAAAACAGGGTCCGAAAATAGGGAAAGGCAGCCTTCTTCTTCTTCCTTGCCACATTCATCTTCTTCCTCAAAATCCCCATTAAACATACCCAATAGTGCCTCAAAAATCAGCGTCAAAACACCTTGAACTCAGTCAAAAATAACTCCAAAATCATCGAAAAAACGTAGTTGAAACACATTGTTTCTTCACCCAAAAGCTAATTTTTCTCCATAGCCCTTCAATCCCATAAACTTCAGCTAAATACTAGTCCAAAATCTGGCCAAAAATGCAGCCGAAACTCAGCCAAAAACAGCCACGAAAATCTGCTCGAAAACAGTCCAAAAGAGCTCTAAAAACCATAAAATACCAGCTCAAAACATCTTGAAAATGCAGCTTAAAACCAGCCCCGAAATCCAGCTCAAAGCAGCTCCAAAATACCAACCAAAATCACCATGAAACAACTCCTCAAACCCAGCAAAATCAGTCACGAAAAAGTGGAGTGCGAGGTTGCCGTCGAGGTCGCGATCCAGTTCCAGTCAAGGCGCTCGTCCGCTGGTCCTGTGGCATTTTAACTTGAAGAGTTTGAAACCTTCGCTTTCATTGTACCCTCATCACTAATAAAGGTCCATTTCTTTGTGTTGGTGAACTTACAAATAATTACAGTTGAAAGATAATATAAAAAAAAATAAATAAATATTTTTCAGGATGAGGCGCGGATATCTCGCTCTCTTTAAGGAGATTCAAGCCCACTGCAGTAGCATCTTCACCGATCCAACAATAATACTCTTGACTTGTCCCCTCCAGGATACAACAGCTCGACAACGTCGTATGACTCGAACAAACTCTGGACAAGTTGTTGAGTCCAAAACTCCACCGAAATGATCACATTCCTTCAACAAAAATAATATTCTCTCTTGTAGAGAATAAGTTGGAAACTTAGATTTTTCTCTTTCTCTTAACGCTCTTTTTCACTACACCAATTTCATATTTTTTTCATGCACACTAAAATATTTTTCTCATTCACAACACAAAGAAGAAACACCACAATTTATAGGTGTAGAATCTCTTCCTTGAAATAAATAATAAGATAGTGGGATAATAAAATAGTAGAACACGGGTTGATGGTTACAAAATTTAATCTTTAGTGGGTAATTAGTGGTAGATCATGGCATTAGTGGTTTCAAGAGTTACACCAAAACAATGATCACTTTCTTGCCAATTTATAACCACTATCTCACAAGAAATAATGCACTTTAATAATATAATTTTAATATTAAAATGCATTAACACCAACACTTTGCTTACATTGTTGGTGTGGCTTTTAATTTTTATTATGATCGTGAATGAGTGATTATGCCTCATGTTTGATTTGCCAGATGGATCTGATTCCTTAGGCTTTTTTTTGTTGGGTTTCATTTGGTTGTTAAATTTTCTTGCTGATTTGTTACTTGATTAACAAAGTATTAAATGTGTTTTGTAGCATATCATCTTGGTTCTGTTTATTTGTTAAGATTTGTAATTTAAGACTAAGTGCGCTATTTGGTTTATTGAATGCAAAGAGACATGACCATTAGCTAAATATTTGACAATTGATGGGCTGTGGGTTTTGGCTTGATTTTACGATATTCAGATTTTTTTTGAGAAATGGGCCATCAACCCCATAGCAGTAAACTCATAGGCAATGTTTATCCCATAAGGAATAATTGCAAATATTTTCCATAATTTAGAGGTGTAATCAATAGCCTAAATAATCCGTATGTGATGAATATTTCCACAATCACTTTTCATAATTTTTAGCCTTACACGCAAATCCCAACTTTTAGGATAATAGAATCACAAACATCGTAGCTTGCTTTAGGCGCGATTAATAATAAATCATCATGACGGGTACGGTTCCCGTGGCATAGTAATGATACCTAATCCCAATTCGAGTGTGCGTTTCACGTGACTCGACCACAACTTTAAATATAATAATAAACATGTGTAGATCGCGGGTGCGTTTCACGTGGCGTGATTCTCAATGTGTACAAAAAATAAACGAGTGTGCGACATTGCGGCTTGTTCAAACAAATTCTATAAATACTAAAAGCGGTTAATTAATTAATTAAAAGCGGTTAGAAAGTAAAAATGCACAATGAGTCTTAAACATGTAATAAATCAGATAATTAGGCCAATTATTAATAGTTGAGCGACCGTGCTAAAACCACGAAACTTGGGAGTGCCTCACACCTTCTCCCGGGTTAACAAAATTCCTTACCCGATCTTCTAGTTTCGCAGACTTTAAAACAGAGTCAAATTTCCTCGATTTGGGAATTAAAATAAATCGGTAACTTGGGACACCATATAATTATCCCAAATGACGACTCTGATTAATTAAATAATCCCATTTTGATTAACATCACTTTAATTGGAAAAAACTCCCTATCCCCTCGAGAAAAAGGAGGTGTGACAGCTCCATAATTTTTTATGGTGTTTATGGCCCAATTAATTCATGATAATAGTATGATTAAGGTAGACTATGTTAAATAGCTTATTAAGCCGTTGGAATACTTGAGTTACGTGATTTGCCAATAGCCATTTCATAGCCATTTGAGCTTTTATCCGTATTCTTATTAACATGTTTATGATCTTTTACTATATCATTTCCTACATACATGCATGAGTCGAAAAGTGATCATTGAGAAAATTTGAGAATTTTGACACTAAGGGCATTTGAGTGGATATTGGCATTGATTACTTGATTGATGATGTCATGATTAGAACATGTTGCACGCCGCAACGATTTATTGATGATTATTAAATATAAAATAATTAACGCTTGGATTATGGATCTGTCCCTCTGAAGTCAGGTGATTACCCATGTTACCTTGGGCCTTGAGAGCATAGGCACTCGTGATTCTTTTGGTGCTTGTTGGATATGTGGCATGTGTCAGGCACATGGATTTGTGATATGAATTGTTGAAAGGGATCCTGAACATGAATATGTATATTTGCTTAGACTCATGCAATGAATTGATGAAAGTATTATGGACTGGTATCATATTTTATTTGAGAATTGGGATGCTAAGATCTTATTTTATTTTCATTATTGGAAAAGCATGTCTAAATTTCGTATGAGCTGTATTGTGAGATTTTATACTTGTTGATGATATCATGCCCAATTTCATGTTGAATTATTCTCTCATCTGATTATTTGACTGCTAGTGACTGCCAAAGTCGACCCCTCGACACTACTACTTCGAGGCTGAACATGAAACTTACCAGGTATTGTGATTTGTACTTATACTACACTTATGCACATTTTGTGAAGGTTCTGAGGCTGGTGTGAGTGACATTCATCCGAGTAAGTCGAAGGACTTGTGGAGACTTCATGGTGAACTACTTGTTGGCCCAAGAATATGTGAAGTTTTGAAGATTGACAAAAGAACTCAGACATGGACCAGGTCCATCTTGTAAAGCACAGTCATGATCAACTTGTACATGTGAGATGCACGTGAAGGAGATAAATCTAACTGATCAAGAAGCGATATCTCCTGATCTGATCGAAAAGGTTGCGTATTGGATAAGGAGAGAAAGACTCCTTACATGAAGAGAACACAGTTTAGGAAGAAGATAGTGTTAGAGTTTGAGATCACTATGAACTCTTCTACGATAGAAGAGTAGCAATTGAATCCCAGTCAAACTCTGATTACTAACCTATTAAATGCCAGTGTTGTTCTCTTGTACAGGTAATGCACACAAGCAGAAGTTAAACTTAAATTGAGAGCAAAAGAGCAAGGCGATTTTGCAAGCAATTTACGTGTGATTCGAATGTGCAATCCTGAAGCTACTTGAACGAGATAGAAGAACCAGTTCCAAGTGTCTATCTTTTATTCTAGTTCAATTGTAGTAGGTGATTTTACATTGTATCTTTCAGATTTCATAAAAGCAATTGTATTAGGTACCTAGAGTGTTCAAGTTAGAATTAACTTGAAGTTGTCGCAACAGTTGAGGCTGTGTGCCACAACGGGATTAGAGTTAATCCTTAGGTTTACAAAGAGTTTTGTAAATGCTGTTTTGTCTCAGTGATTTTAGTGAAAGTTTGAGAAAATCCTACTGAGTAGTAGGTCGTGGTTTTTTCACCTTTTGAGCCAGGTGTTTTTCACGTAAAAATCTCTGTGTTCTTTATTTTCTATATTTATTATTCCGCAAACAACAGTAGTTGGAACACCTAGAAGAACCAGGTCCTTCTATAGTTCAGATAAGCAAAAATTGGGTACACACAAATCACCCCCCCTCTTGTGTGGTAGTGTTTAGAACATCACTACTCTACTTGATCGATTCGCAGTCCATAGAGTCCCCCTCCCTACTTATCTCTTATGTCTATCTGTTTTATTCATATAGACGTTATCTTCTTTATTTTCAGTCGTTAATCTTATTTTTTATTCTATTTCTTTATCATGTTTGAATCAAATCAGTTCGCTTGTCTATAAACCACGCTATAAATTCAACTTTACCTATATATATATATATATATATATATATATATATATATATATATATATATATATATATATATATATATATATATATATATATATTATAAAAGCATGAATACAATATTAGATTACAAAAATAACCTTATAATATTAAACATAATAACTCACAATAAAAGGACATAATCGGAACTCTAGATATTTGTAATCCTATTAGCTTTAGGATATAATATCACAAGTTAGAAATCTTACATGATTACCGTTAGGAGTTTTATTAGTATAATTAATTTAGAGTATAGAAATATAATGCTAGGGTACGGATTTGCTCCAATAACTAAAGCTCCAGTAATTTTCAATACATATCTAGATCGCAGCCATGTTTCCCTAAGAAAATTTAATGGCCTTGATTGCAACTTCTTTTTCTCTATCCATCTAAACCATTTTTCTCATTCAAGACAAAGAAAATAAATATTGAACCTGACACGAAGTAATGAAAAGCTCACGATACATATTATTTTACTTTAAATTTGAAAATCAGATTCACTAACAAAATCTCCAATATGTTACTACCGGTTTTCAAAATGGTAAACAAAGAAACAAGCTTCATGGGAAACGAAACTGAACGACAATTTTAATTATGAGTCTTATAGGAAAGAAGAAATTTTTTTGTGTGTGAGTTTCTCTATCTTCTCTGTAGTCTACAATATAAATCTTTTTCTCTACAATATTTGCTCAATAACAGTACAATCAAGTTGAGGAGGTTCTTCTGAAGAATCTCATGGAACTGGAGATGAGAAGGACTGGGTATTTCAACTAAATTAATTATTGAAAAAAGCAAAACGGATTCCTATTTCAAGCTTGATACGGAAATGGGAGCCTACAAGTTTGTTGGATGAGCATATGGTGGTGTTTTGCATCTTCATTCTTTATTTGGAACATGTGTTAGTACTACATGTTAGCATGTAAACTTAATACCTTTAGGAACACGTTAGCTTTCCTATTAGAATAATTACTTTTGGGATAAAGACATATTTTTAGTCATGTAATTCTATTATTTTTAGGATATATTTCTTCAAAAAATCTATTACTAATTTAATTTGAAAACGTATTATAATGTGCTATTACTAATTTAATTTGAGAATGTATTACATTCTCCAATTTTATTTAGAAAAAGGAGAGTCTATATTATTATAAAGGCACGAATACAATATTGATAGACCAAAATAGTCCTAAAATATTAAATAGAAGAACTTATAGAAAAAGAATTAAAATAACATATTTTTTTGGACTACAAGACCTTCTATGTTACTTTTTTAATATTTAATATTTTAAAAATAATATATTTTATCTATTAAATTTTTATTAATAATATGTAGGAAGGCTGAATAAAATCAATTTCATAAGAATCCTCCATATTGACATTACATTACCACTCCATAATATCTAATACTAAGAGAAAATAAAAGTAATATTAAATGAACTACAGAAAGCGTTGAAATTGAGAAAAAATATCCCCATATTATATTTGAACTATTTTCCTACTCAAATAATATATCTTTTAATCAATTTTT